AACACGACATAATCCTCACGTACTCCATGGAATTACTCCCTAGTTGTATTTGTGAGAAGGTATTCTAATGGAGAATCCCTTGAATCAATATCTGAGACTTTGCTCGTGGAAGTCAGGAATCGACATTCATGTAACTAGTGCCAACCTCGTAGCAATTTGACAGCGTTATATCTGCACTACCCTTGAGAGCCCTGGGGCTTGTATCCGAGCTCGTCTGTTCAGAAGTTCTCAAAGAGATATCTCATTCCAGCCCAGATCTCCTCACCAGACTCAACAATCTGTTTCGGTGGAAGAACAAACCCATTGCCCCTCAACCTCTGGGGCCGAAGCTCCATACCCCAAGCAAGCTCTGCTCCAGCAACATCATAAACCCAGTCACTACTTCCTCCCGAAGTCTGATAGATGGTCTGACAAGTTGGGCCGTAATAGAAATTCAAGTCGTTGACCTGTTTGATAGCGTCTGCAACGCCGCCAGCGAGCTCCATCTGTTCGTTGATATCAGTGATGTTGGTGTCGCAAGTGTAGCCGTACGGAAGGAGGATCAACTGGCTGAAGGAGTGAAAGTCGATGTAAGACTTTATGCCATTCTTCTGCGCAACTGATTTGGTATGCTTGACGAGAGCTTTGTTTTCGGGGGTATCACCAGCCTTCATACCGCGATACGTCTCGTTGCAAGTATCAGTGGAGGAGCCACCAGGGATATCCCACTCATGAGGCCAGTTTCGGTTGAGGTCGGTGCCGATACATTTCTTACCAGCTCGCTTCTGTCGGTTCTTTCGCCACAACCGGTCGTCAGTTATCGTATAGACGAAGCCTATGAAGCAGTCAGCATCCGTGTTTCACCTTTCAAAGAGACCTCCGAAGACTCACCATCGGGGTTTGCGATCGGAATGATGTAGACGTCGTAGTTGTTGAGTGTATCTCGAACAAGACGATCCTTATTCTGATAACCTTGGACAAGCTTCCACGCCATATACTCAACGGTCTGTGAATAGCGTTAGAATACTACATCTCTCTACTGAGTTGAATGCTTCCTACCATTCCGCTAATCCACTCGCGTGCGTGAGAATTCGCGTGCCAAACGATGGCAGGGTTTCTTCCCTTATCGCCGTTACCCCAGAGGTGAATGCCTTGGATTTCTCTATTCTGTACAGTCCTACCAGTTGTGAAGACTTCCGAGTTCTTGGGGAACGAGGCTTGCAAATCGGACAGGAACTGTAGGTGCTGCTCGAAACTATGGTAGGACTTGAAGTAAGATTTATCGGGCAGCTTCGCCTTGTCGCCGGGCAGTTTGGTGGTAGCTACCAACCATCAGTCATGTATGAGCTGAAAAAATCACTGGGGTTACTTACCTTTGTAGAGCCCAAAGCTTCCCTCTTGGGCGATCTCGGCGCCTATGTTATCGCTCATAACGGCGGTTTTCAGGCCAAGACTCTTAAAAGCACCCAGTTTTCCAGGAGGAATGGCGACCTCAAAAACGTTGTGATTTTGCCCGCAGCTCAAAGAAACGTGATCAATGCCTTTCAGAAGGCTCGGGATATCTTTGTCGGACGGGCGAGCAGTGATGGAGAAGGCTTTCCAGCCATCATATGACACCTTGGCCGCAACAGCAGGCAGCAAAAGGCCTGCGTATATAGTACTGAATAGCATATCAAGGACTGCGGTTGGCGAAAGTTGCTGGAGATATGTTGAGTAATTTGCTTCACTTTGGTTGAGAAGGCTCCTGTCGCCCCCTTTATACTACTTTCTAGGCACTGACAAACTCATACGGAAACGGAGGAACATCTGGGATTATGATTCATAGTCCGTGAATCATCACGGCTTCCGGGCACTTGGCTGTGCTAGATGTTGGACAAGTCACAATAACCAACCGCACCATGTGGAGTGCCTAACACTGATTCATGTGTTTCGACTGGAGGAAATAACACTTGTCATGGAAACATGGCCGTTCATGCTATGAATAGCAGTCATGTCTCACAACTATCAGATTTCGGCTTGATTGTTCTGTTGGTAGGTGCCTAGACAGGGGCATCGGATGAAAAGAACAATATTAAGGCCTGTTGGTTGTCTTGTTTCACTTCGCCCCTCATTGGACAGTAACACAACAAGCTCGTCTTGTCCAGTAACTTATCACTTTATTCCGCATCACCGCCAACATGGTCCGCGCTTTGACCCCTCTCCCAATTCTTTTGCAGCACCTTGGCCATTCTGCCCCAGATGCGTCGTGGCATCTCGTGTCCAACATCCTCCCATAGCACATAGTCAACATCACCAGGAATCGCTTTTGCCAAGGCCTCTCCGTGAATCTCCCCAAAGATCTGATCCTTGCCTGCCTGCACAACCGTGGTCGGGCATTTGATCATCTTGAGTGTATCAGCCCCTGGCCAACCATCTTTTTCGTACGACGCGGCGCCGTGATTCGGAGCTTTGCTGTACAATGTGCCACCTTTGATATCCCGTTCCACCAGACGTCTCACCGCCTTCTCCACCTCCTTTCTCTCATCCGCATCAGGCTGCGTTGTGAGTGCGTCATAGACGGTCATTCCGTTTTTGATGGCCGTTTCCCTCTGATCTCCGAAGCCAGCCAGCATTGGTTGGAACCCAAGATCAAGTCCTCCTTTGATTGGGAGCTCAGGGCTCACGCCGGGAGACGTGTACAGAAGCGACAGGCTTCTGACTTGTCGGGGCCTACGCGCGGCGACTGTGTAGGCGACTGGCCCTCCTTTACTCAGACCAACAATATGGAAGCCCTTTGAGGTATCGTTGAGATTCAAGTGATCTGCAAGTCCCTCAATGTCGCCTGCCATGTCTCCAATTGAGTATCCGCCAGGCACGGGAAACTCAGTCGATAGGCCCGTGTCTCTTGGATCGAAGCGTATCACGAAGTATTTCTTGCCATCTCCCGAAGATTGAAGCTTTTCGATGAGACCTTCTGCCCATACTATCATTGAATCCGCATTGCCGGGCACGAGTATGACCGCAGGATCTGACGGGTCGCCAAAGGTTTGATAACAGATACGCAATCTGTTGGTGAGCTGGGCAAAGAGTTCTGGTGAGGGGTTCATTTTGCTATTACAATGTTGATAAAAGGGTTTACAGAATCTCTTGGCGAATATGGTGCTGTTACAAGAACGGGAGCATCGCAGATGTTTGTTTGCAGGATAGTGGTGGGGGCTGATGTCAGCACTAATGCAGAGCAATCCAGGGTGCTGAATGCTCTAGTAACCAGTCGTTACTGACTCCCAGCAGCTAATAGCCTGATAACTGATATTCTTTTGAATCTCCATTGGTTTGTTCGCATGCCATTGCCCTTTCTAGCAGAGTGTTTCAGGATCTGGTAAGGAGGTCCATTGATTTTTGTAGGGATATATAACTTGAAGTAAATAACTCATCATAGCGACTGTCATGTCTTGCGGGTGGCGTCGTAGCTCCGGTTGTCATACAGCATGTATATATCGAACTCTCAGTGTTGCTTGATCGCTACTATATCAAAATTGTCCTGTAACTTAGGTCAACGTTGACGCGAACTGCAATCGTGTATATTTCTTGCTTCTCTGGTTCCTCTCTCAGTTGCTGTGAAGACCGACAGGACAAAAAGAGTGTAGAGGATATCTAGAGTCAGATCCTAATGCCTATTGGACTTCATGACGCCTGAATGGTTGAAAGATCAACCGTGCTGAACGGGTTGAGCCTGGAGCCTGAACAAACGACTCAGTATCGAACCTTGCTATCAACTGACTTGATGGTAAGCTTCACTGAAGCTTCAGAAACCTCTGTCTTGGTTCCATACCTCTATTGAAGACAGCTGGCATCATAATAAAATCGTGATCTTTCAATTATATCTTGGGTTAAACTGAAAGAAGAACTTTATCTAGAGAGTTTGCATATAGAGTCTACGGTTATTGGCCGATGGCTACCACCGTTCTTGACAATACGGCTTGATAGAAGGTCCTGGCCATGAATACGATAGTGAGTAATGCCTTCACTTGATTTCGCCAGCTGATCCGCACGACTCTGTGTTTGGTCACTTGGATTGCTTGACAACAACCGCTTATGCACTCCTTCGATTGATTGACGTTTATATTTATATGTTGCCGGTCCTGGTCATAAACCTAAAATATAAGACCCAAGTGTATGGACATGGTCTGATCCTCGAATTACGTCCCGCATGCTAAATCAACCAAGCACAATCCATTACCATACCGGTTGGGAATAGCGCCTTTGTAATGTTATTTCTTGATATGGATTTCAAGAACCGGCGTACAAGAGAAACACTTTTTAATGCAGGAGTCAATATTTTCAAAACAGCGAGCTGATTTATAGTCAAAGTCCAAGATATCTCGACAGGATATATCAAGCCAACACACTGGAAATCCCAATTAACTTCAGAACACTATACGAATGCATACGTAACTGAGATATCAGTAAAGGAGAACTCTGATCCTAGCTGAAATGAAAATGTCTTCTCAAGCTGTCTCCGGGAGGATGAAGGGACGTGAAGAACGCGTGCGATCGCAACGTGGGCAATGGGCGAGTTTGTAGAAGATGCAGACGGCAATTCGCGCAGAAACTTGTCACTTGCTAGGCCATTGGTACCAAGTCAGGTTGACCACGATCTTTGGTGGCATGCTTACATATCATCCTCGGGGTGATTTACATAAGAACTCCATACTTGAGTACCACCATGATATCACCAATTCCCTTGAAGTCAAATCATAGGAAGTTATATAGAGACTACATCCCGAGCTTCGGCGTTGTCCCCGCAGATTATCAAGCTAAGGTAGATTGGTAATCGGCGTTCCATGGGGATAGCGTTAAACACCAAGCTAAAGTCTAAGCAGCCAATCAATGACGCATACTCACCATTCTAAGTTCCACTATCATGACGCCATCTAGCGGTATAAATGTCCTCAAGAGCTTCTCTATCTTGATGATACTCATCAAGCAAGTCTTATCATTACTCGCAGAACAGTAGCTTCACAACAACAGAAACCAACATCATGACTACCAAGGCTATCGTATTCGTTGAGAAGGGCAAGGCCACTATCCAGGAGGTCTCGAAGCCCAAGCTTCGAGACGATTATATCCTCGTCAAGGTCAATGCCGTTGGCTTGAACCCTACCGACTGGAAGCATATCGACTTCGGCCTCACTAAACCTGGCTCTAGAATCGGATGCGACTACGCTGGTACCGTCGAGGAAGTTGGTCCCAAGGTTACCAAGGCTTTCAAGAAGGGCGACCGGATTAGCGGTGTAGTCCATGGAGCGTCAGTATTTAGCCATCATTGGGTTAAAATCTTCTAATCATATTTAGTGACGCAACTCAGCTCGAGAACGGAGGCTTTGCCGACTACATTGTGGCAAAGGGAGATGTACAGATCAAGACGCCCGATAATGTTACTGACGAGGAGGCTGCTACCCTTGGTATCTCTATTGCCACAGTAGTAAGTTTGACCTGGCGAGTAAAAGTAAAGAGCATACATACTGATCACCCACGCAGGGCCAAGGCCTTTATAAGACTCTGGGATTGCCTCTACCCACTGAGGGCAAAAAGAGCGATGAGTTTATCCTTATTTACGGCGGCAGCACTGCAACTGGCATTTATGGTATTCAGTTCGCCAAACTTTCGGGGCTGAAGGTTATCGCGACTGCTTCTCCTCACAACTTCGACTATCTCAAGTCGCTCGGAGCCGAGGCAGTCTTTGACTACAAGTCGCCCAACGTCGCTGAAGAAATTCGCAAGTACACCAACAATACACTGAAACTCGCCTGGGACTGCACCGCGCAAGGCGTCGCCATCAGCGCTGGAGCTATCAGCACCGAGGGCGGCAAGTACGCTACTCTTCTGCCAGTCGACAAGCAGCAGTTGCTCGACGTGAACCCCAAGGTCGATGGACCCTATGTAACGCTTATGTATTCCATCTTTGGCGAGCGATTCTTCAAGGGACAGGAGACGCCTGCTCAGCCTGAAGAGTTTGAGTTCGCGAAGAAGTTCTGGGAGATCAGCCGACAGTTGCTTGAAGAGGGCAAGCTAAAGGCTCCCCAGGCGTTTGTTAACCGGGGCGGCAGTGGCTTTGAGGGTATTCTGAAGGGCTTGGATGAATTGAGAGCGAACAAGGTTTCCGGAGGAAAGCTTGTGTATACTCTGTGAGATGTGCATTGACGTATAGAGGCATTAAATGGATAAGACATTATATGCGCCTCGTATGAACGAGAGTTTAGAGCTACTCTCTCTGCATATTGTGGCTGTGAACCTAAACTTTATTCTTATTGCTTCAAGGAAATGCATGAGTAGAGTGAAAATGGGGTTTAAAAAACCACCTAAAACTCTATGATTAGATATCTGATGAGTAAAAAGACAATCGATGGATATGTTGATTGCGATTTACTCAAAATGGCAAAAGATGGAGAAATGCCTCCACACCGGATTGAACGATGGACCTTTGCATTACAAGTGCAACGCTCTACCACTGAGCTATAGAGGCGGTTCTATTTGATGACTAGTGAGTTGTAGTCTGGACTTATGTACACCACATGCACTGTAAGCTACTGCATTAGTGCCTGTCATCAAATCTTGTTGCAGGAATTGCTCGTGTGCCCAATCTCTCATCACCAACAATCACATGCATGATGCACTAACCCTTGCAGTAATTGATCAGCAGCAATATCAATTGATCCCCGCTTACTGTTGTCTCCAGAGATATCGACTTTCTTGATCAAGATTGGCTTGCCACTAACTCCACGACAGTGTCTCCTCTTCCCCAGCCATTCTGTGACCCTCCCCCAGGTGAAATCTCCTCGCTGCGTCCTAATACTGGGCCTCGTCAACTGCTGCTGAGCGGGAATTGACAGGTGATAGAGCATATTCGTATTCACCTGACGTATCAGTGCTAGTGGGCGCTCTGACAGGCCCATCGGCAATTTTGAGCCGAGCAGAGGACGCGGTTGGCGCCACCGACGACCAAACTCGGCAATAAATCGACAACAAAGGATTCATGTGCATCATCAAAGTCAATTGGCCCAACGCGCCGAGTGCCGTCCGTGTCGGTTACCTCCGGTCACTCTCTCCTATGATGTTGGGCTCTTGAGTCTCGTGTACGTAATGATTCGTTGGTGCAACATTACCAGCTTCTCAAAACAACTTGGGTCAATCACTCAGTGCCCAGTTTTTGTCCCACAGACGCCAGACCTTATCTCCCTGACAAGAAGCCATTGCTCCACCACGAGAATGGCCCCCGTTTTCTCTTAAATCCTAGAAATCCTGTGACACCGAGTCAATTCTTTTGTTCTCCGAGGCATCACCAATCTTTGGCGTTTTAGTCGGATCTCAACGTGACCGTGGCTTTGGCTCCCCCTCTCTTATAACTGTGACTAGGCGTGCACTCTTCCCCACGACAACCAGAACCTTATCACCTGTGATCAATACATCCTTGCCCATCCACGATGCTGGGGTTCGGCAAGAAACGCGAGGGCGATGCCTCTGACGAAGCCCCTCATGATGAAGTGCACACGCCTCAAGACGACGTCCCCCAAAGACCTTGGATGGAGACTGCCCTCCCAGTGTTTGCTTGCGGTGCTGGTCTTTTCTCAGATGGCTACATCAACAACGTGAGAACTGCTGTAAATATCCTGTCCTTCATTTCTAACGCGCGTAGGTCATTGGTTCCGTCAACACCACCTTGAAACGACAATATGGAGATGTTTATGCCAACTCTAATGCCTTCAAATACGTTTCTGATATCGCCTTCGCTGGAACAGTCGTTGGCCAGCTTGTCTTTGGTTTCCTTGCTGATCATTGGTCGCGAACTAATACCCTCATGGTTTCGACTGTTATTCTCATCATTTTCACTGCTCTGGCAGCTGGGTCTTACTGGCATGGACAGGCGGTCGGAATGTTTAACATGCTGACCGCTTGGCGATTTTTCGTCGGTATCGGTATTGGAGGTGAGAAACGCAACTCTTGAATGTGCGAGCCTGGTACTAATGATTTCTAGGTGAATATCCCGCTGGTAGTGTCGGATGCGCCGAGTCCAGTGGCCAGATGAAGAAAGGAACCAGAAACCGTTGGTTCATTCTCTTCACAAACTCAATGATCGACTTTGGCTTCGTCATTGGCGCTTTCGTCCCTTGTACGTTACAACTCAATCCTAATCTGACTATAACTAACCCTCAATAGACGTTGTTGCCGCCGCATGCCATAATGGCCACTACAGCACCATCTGGAGAACCAGTCTCGGCATTGGAGTTGTCTTCCCTCTCGTCCTGTTCGTTCTTCGGCTTCGACTCAAGGAGCCCGAGGAATTCGCCAAGGAGTCGATGAGACGCCAAACACCATACTCGCTGGTTCTGCGCTACTACTGGTTCCGTCTCCTCTGTGTCAGCCTGGTTTGGTTCCTCTATAACGTAAGTTTTCAAGATACGACAATCTGCCCTCTGCTAACGCGACTAGTTCTCCTCTTACGCCTTTGGTATCTACTCCTCCTCGATTCTTGCCGGTATCTATGGCGATGGCGCAAATCTAACCACTGTTTTTGGCTGGAACACCGTCATCAACATGTTCTATCTGCCAGGTACTCTTATTGGTGCATTTGTCAGTGACTGGATCGGCCCTCGATACACTCTTATCCTCGGTGTTACTCTCCAAGCCATCGTCGGCTTTATCATGGCCGGTGTTTACGACAAGATCTCCACCCAGATTGCGGCTTTTGCCGTCGTCTTCGGAATCTTCCAAGCTCTTGGTGAACTCGGTCCCGGAAACAATATCGGTCTTCTCGCTGCAAAGACATGTGCTACTGGTGTCCGTGGCCGATACTACGGTATCGCTGCTGCCGTTGGCAAGATTGGTGCTTTCGTCGGTACCTATGTGTTTCCCTACATCCAGGCCGCTGGAGGAAACAAGACTGAGTCCGCCCAGTACCCTTTCTGGGTCTCATCCAGTCTCTGCATCCTCTCAGCTCTCATCGTGTTCTTCTGCATCCCCCACGTTGGACAAGACACCATTACTGTTGAAGATCAAAAGTTCCGTGAATACCTGCAGGCCAATGGATACGATACTGCGCAGATGGGCTTCGACTCTGTTGGTATCGAGGGCGGAGAAGTGAATGTCACAAAAGCAGACGAGAAGTGAAGGCGTGGAATACTGTGATTGCATTTCGCGTGACGATTTGCGACGTTGGGACACCAAGCCATGAACATAATGACCTATTTCTAGCCAATTAGTGTTTATAATCTAAGATCCCCAGCAAAATTCCCGTATTAATAGTGACAGCATGTGTCAGAATCTAGGTGGCAAGTGAAGCCTTCAGTCATGGTGGCAGGAGAGAATGTGTTATGAGAACTGATTCTTGATAAATTACCAACTCTAGAGTACTTATGTGAACTGTTGATCCATAAGACTAGCTTAAAGTCTTCCCTGTGCGTTCCACAATTCTCCTTCAACACGCTTATCAAGACCAATGATCTACTTTTGTAACAACAAATAACAAAAACACCGGCTCGCGGCTGTACTGATCAAAAGCAATGTGATGCTTCAGCCAGTGTCCATGGCATTCTTTCCATGCTCGCAAAGTGATAACTCGTGGGATAATCACATCAATAATAAGAAAATCAACTCCTCACTCGGGCATTCTTGGCTGCTTGGGCCATCTGACTCTTTCTCTTAGCTGGCTTGACTCGCTTGCCTCGATTCGCTTCAAAGGCCTGCTCATTTTTGTCCTGTTTATACTTCTCCTCCAGTTTTGGACAACTCATCTTGATGTGATTTACAAGAGCTGTTGGCTCCAGAGTCGATTCCTTGCAAAAAGGGCATCGATACCTGTTTTCATTGTTGAGAAAGTCGCAGGGGACAAGATCAGGTCTTTCTGTTCCAACTTGCTCCAGAAGTGCTTTGCGAACGTTGGGAGACAACTCAGAGAGGAAGGGATCGAGAGCCGGATTACGTCTCGGACCCTGATCGAGCTCATGCGACTGATAGGACCGTGGCGTAGAGTTTGCTATCTGAGGGCTGCCTGCGAGTGCATACTGCTGGAGTTGGGGCTGACACGCGCTTTCGGAATGTCTTCGAAGGTGACCTTGAGGCCGATTAGGTTGGGCGTACTGGTGAGCAGACGGTGCTGATGACTGGTAGCCTGTACTCGAATAGTTTGGCAGCATGGTCGGCAAGGGGGCGTGAAAAGGCATGGCTTGAGTGTAGCTTGAGTTTGGCCTGCGCGGTTCTGCGTGCCCTAAGATTGGTGACATCGTAGCAAGTGGAGGGCGCATGTTGCTTGCCGTGTGCGGTCTAGAGATCTCGGCCGCAGATAGACGCGGTGATTGCATAATAGGCGGCGTAGGCTGTTGATGTCCCGTATAGTGTCCAGGTCGAGCCCCCACAGCGGTCTGCGGCGGCGAGATCATGTTCTGAGTTGTGTGGGCTTCAGATCGAGGACGAGAGATGTTTGGTAGTCGAATAGGTGGCAATTGATTTTCCGCTGTTGGCGCTTGTGGTGACAAGGTCCCAGTTGATGCATGACGCTGGGAAACATAGCCCTGCCCCTGCATCTCAGGGCTTTGATGAGGAAAACGACTGAAAGGCTGGTGAGGCGATGGGGGTGGCTGCACCGGAACAGCATAGGGACGCCGTGGTGATGGAGCAGGACGATGATTTGGATGCCTTTCATAGCCCGAAGCATGGCGAGGGATTTCTCCAGGAACTTGTCGGGGAGAGTACATCGGCTGTGACCCAGGATGCCCTTGGAAACTGGACTGAGGTCGCTGAACTTCTGCCGCCAGTTGATGGGGAGAAGGCATGGCCTGTGATCTAATATGCATTTGGGATGCAGAGCCGGGTCGCGATATAGATCGAGCAGCCAGACGAGGTGAAGGCATAGGCTGCGGTCCAGCATGTCCCGAAGAACTAGGTCTCGACAGGGATGTCTGTTGTTGGACTAGCATTGTATTGGGGAGATAGTGTCCTTCTTCAGGGACATTCATGGGCGGCAAGCGGGGTGAGTTTTGGTGTACCGGGGAAGTAGGTCGAGAAGCATATCTAGCAGGTGGCTGGCCTGATATCGTTTGTGCTGGTCGCTCTACCTGAGCTGCTGAAGTGTTCTCTGCCCCGGAAGAATGTTGAGAAGAAGCACTAAGGGCCTGGTTTTGTGATGGCTTGGCCTTGGGGGCCTCGCGGCTCTTTACGGGTGAAGCAGAAGGTCTAGGTGACGGTCTCTCGTGAGGAAGCGGGCGGCGCGCAGCTGGGGCTATAGGTCTGGTAGCAGACATAACTGGCGGCGTTGGTGTTGTATGTGCAGGTTCTGAATGTCTTTCATGAGCTGCTGGCATCTCTGTAGGACTGGCTACTGCTGCTGCTGGCTGTCCAGTTGTCATGGACTGTAACCGCGCTTCATTGACTGCTTGACGGTTAAGCAAGACAATCTCAACTGTGGGCTTGGATGGTGCCTTGGGCTTTATCGCACGTAGAGGCTCTTTGGATCCGGGACTGTTTCCCAGAGCCTGCGCAGACGCCCTGGGCTGAGCTGCATGAGGATGCCTCAAGACTTCAGAGCGATTCTGAGCATCTTCTGGTAGTGGACTCTGTACTTGTGAGTGGCGGGGAGGTGCCAGGACCTGCGATGTCTGCGATGTCGGCCGTACATTGTGTGGCTGTTCGCCGTTAGACACAGCAGGTCCAGGAGACATTGCTACTTGCGCTGCGGGCCCCATTTGCGCTATTGGGGCACGGAACGGTGACCCCGAAGGCGATTGTTGAGATGATGAAGGTGGGCGGCATAATGTCGAGGGCCTGGCCGCTGGAAGCTGTGATAATTGCGGCGGTTGCGAGGCTGCCGTTAGCTGAGATGGTGCAGGCCGACGCGCAAGAGCTGATGATTGTGATGACCCTAAGCGCTGTGGTGTCGTTGATGCCCATGAGTTGTCCAGCGGCCATGATGAGACTGGGTGCTGTAACCCTGAAGGCGGGCGTTGCGATGTTGGTGATCGTATGACTGATGACTGAGAAGAAGGCGGAGGCTGTGACATCCTAGGCAGCTGTAAAGGAGTCGAAGCAGACGGCGCTGTGGGTGAGAACGGTATTGTCGCTGGCGGCGACATTGCAGGTGGGCGAGATACAACAGGTGACTTTGATAGCGATGACATTCGTGACTGCGCAGCGAATGCGTTGCGATTAGGAGTCCCTGAACGAGCCCGTCTCGAAGCAGGTTGAATTTGCGGCCGTGACTCAACGACGTCGCTTGGAACACCCTCTGACAAGGAAGAAGCTCGACCCATTTCAGCGTACGATAGGCGTGGCCGTGGAGTCTCGTCATTTGAAGATTCCGTAGCGACAGAAGAGCGCTGAGGTTGACTAGCCTCCCGTGTCTCATCTCCAGAGTCCGTTTCCATACGAGTAACATTGGTTGTCTCGGGAGTAGGCGAGGCAGGCAAGCTTTCTTCCTGTTTCGTGTTGACAACGTCATTTGGTGCGTTCGCACGACCAACTGCCTCACGGGAAGGTGGAGGTGCTGGCCTTTGACCGAGTTCTCTCTGTTCAGACTGTGAAAACTGGAACTCCAGATCCTCGCCTGCAGTTAGGAGATCCTCTAAATCGACACTGGGTAAACGTTCTTCTCTTGCTTCCTGTGATGGGCTTTCCTGCTCTCGTTCCGCGGTGACTTCCTTTGGTTCCTTCGGGGAGGAGACGTTTTCGGCTGGATCTTCCTGAGTATCAAAAACAATCTCCTGATCGTCTCCATCAGGCTGAGAGTCATTCTGCTGCAGAGGTTCCGGTGTTGCATCTTCTGGAGTTTCCATCACAACATCCTCGCTGTCCTCGGTTGGTTGTTGAGTAGTACTGTCGGTAGAGCTTTCCTCTAGACTCATGGCGATATCTTCGTTTTCGACTGTAACGGGTTGTACGGGTGACTCGGCGACTTTCCCAGGTTCTGGTCCAGTTTCCTGCGCGTCTTCAACTTCCATCTCGGTATCCTTCTGCACTTCTCGAGGTTCCGGCGTGGCGTCGTTCTGCACTTCTCCAGACTTCAATATGACGTCATTCTGTACTTCTTCAGGCTCTGTTAGAACATCCTGCTCTTCTTCGGATTCAAATCCAGTGTCCTGCGTCTCTTCAATTTCCATATGGGTGCCCTGTGCTTCTTCGGGCTCTGCAAGAATCTCCCGCTCTTCTTCGATTGCTTCTCTCATGTCCTTCTGCGCTTCTTCAAGCTCTGGGTGAGCGTCGTGCTCTTCTTCGGGTGCTCCTTCGGGGTCCTTCAGCGTTTTTTCAGTCAGCCCAGTCACGTCTGTGTCTCCAGCCTCATCAGCAGCATCAGCTTCTGGGGCTGTGTTAGGTGTAACGGTCCCGGCGTTCTGAGCAGGTTGGAAATCTGTCGAGGACTCTGCAACTGGTGACCGAGGCGCAAGATCGGACGTGGAGTCTATAGAAAGGCTATGTCAGAAACCTTACCTCACAAACAGTCAAGATACTTACTATCATCAGCGGAATCTGGAATCTCATCGTTTGGACCCAACCGCTTGGGCTGTTGAGCTGCCTCCCGCTTCTTGAGATATTCAAAAGCCTGGTCACTGTGCTCAATCATCAGCGCCTTTTCCTCATCCCAAGGCTGGATTTCGTCGAGAGGAATCCAAGCAACATGGCACAGGTCAGGAAAATCAAGTCCCTCGAAAAACATGAACGGAAATTGCTGTTCCGAAGCGTCCTCCCCTCCATCTTCATAACCCTCTGCCCAGGAGAAGGACTTGCTGGAGCTATCGTACTCATAACAAGGCGGTATGTTGTTAAGTAAGCCCAACGCCTCAAGGGATTCGTCTATGCCAACGGATTCGGGATCTTGCAAAGGGATATACAGACCACAATACCACTGTTTCGATGAGGACCAGTAGATTATGTAGACATCTCCAGGAACCAAGTCGCGGGGATTAATGGTGTTCCGGGACTTGCGACTTGACCTGCCCTTCTTGGCGGCGTTGCTGGTTTTCTTGCGCGATGTGTTGGGTGAAGGCGAATCAGTAACGCGAATAAAGTCACGCGCGCCTCTTTCACCTTTTTGAAAGGATTCCTTGGCGGCTTTGTTGTTTTGAATGAGTTTTTCGTCGTCGCAGCCAATAAGCTCATAACCAAAGTGCTGGACAACAGTCTCAAATGAAGGGTTCTCATGCTGATGGGCTTCTGATAAATGCGCCAAACCTGCCTGTAAAGGATTGTCGTTAAAGTCGATGTCGTGGTGCTCACATCGCAAGATGTAAAACTTGGCCGGGCGCACAGGATCCTCGTCCTCGGGGACCCGGATAATGGTGTGCTTCTTGGCGGCGCGTCTGTTTTGGTAGACGGCATTGAAATGTATGGAATTTCTGTTGCCTTGAATGCGCGGTCGCTTGTGAGAAATGGCGGAGCTGCGGCCTCGCTTCCTCTTACGCGTGTCTGACTGTGAGACGAGGGCGATGTTAGCAAAAAAATGAGAGAGAGAGGAAGAGAGCGAGGATACGATGAGGGTGAGGGTGAGGGCGCGTAAGCAAAGCAAGGCAAGGCAAAAACAGCGATGAAAGGGAATCGGACCTCAAAAACTCCATTACGATCTGGGGTGAGCACCGCCCCTCCCCTCTTCACTCGCATTCGCGGCCTGCGCGGTGTGTCCGGATCAGCATCAGGCGAATCTACAGCGAGACCTAGGGCCGAGGTGTCGACGGCCATGTTGCCGTTGATGGGGAGGCCGAAATCTTTATAGAGGTTGAAGAGGTTGTTCATGAGAGAATTTGCTTTCATCTCGTCTTCGGGGCGGTACGCCACATGAGCATCCCTGCACGTGCGGTCCCAGTCCGTCTTAAGCGGTCTTAACTCACGCTCGAGAGCTACCAACGACTCTTGTTTTGCTTGGCGCTGGGCCTCGCTGTCCTCGTCGTCCGAGTCGACTTCTCCAAGCTCTCGATGCAACTCGTCACTTTTTGCCTCGAGTTCTTGCAGTCGACGAGGTTTGATCAGTATCGGCATTGCGGGCCAACTGGCTTTACTGGCTTCCAACAAGGCCTGACACTGTTCAAGCCAGGCCAATCCAGCTGATTGGGCCCGAGAGCCTGCCGCCATGGCTGGTAGTGTATTGCGCTAAAAAGGAGAACTCTAAAAGAAAAAGTGGGTGAAATGAACCAAGACACGCCGAAGGATAATTTAAAATACAACCATTAAAAAAAAATAAAAGGTCAATGCAGACTGAAAACTAAAGACAGAAGAGACGAAAGGGAAAAAGGTTGGGAGGACAATAGAATATCTTTTTGCAAGGAAAAATCGCGAGAGAAATTATGTGTAACCGTCCGTCACCACATTGAATGCATCACTGATCAGTACAAACAGAATGGAGCTGGCCCGTGAAAGCGGTACGGCTAGGTTAGGTTTGCCTGCACTAACCGTCGATGGTACAGCACATACAGTCATGGATTTAGTGCCCGGCAAACCTAAGCAGAACCAGATTCTGGCCAAAAGCAAACGTATTTGCGACGCAACCAATGGCAAACACTCGAAATGTTACACATTCGCTCTCTGACCCCGCACGGTTTGCGCTGAGACATGAGTTTTAGGCCTGATCAGACCAGTAAGCCAGTCCAGAGGTTCTCACTACGGGCGGCATGGGTCTAGGTAATCTCCAGCTGTTTGCTGAGTGTCATCATGTCTTGGGGGCCCCTGTAATTATCTCATTACCGCGTATACATAGACGCAAACCCAAAACGCAAAAGGACACGGTCACTTACTCACTCACTCATCATCTTTCTTTGTCCCCCCCTCTCATCTATCTGCCCTTTTCGTTCCAGTGGCGTCACCTTAGTCTCAGCTCTAGTAATTTGGGGAATGTAAGCCGGTGGCTGACAATTCGATCAATTATGGCCCACCATCCATCATCGCCCTTGCTTGGCACTCGCACTCTACCATAGTAGGCACTTGGCTCCTTTTCCTCCTAGCACCCTCTAGCCTCCCCTGTCCATGCACTACAAGGATATACTAATCAATGCAATGGATGACCCACAATCGTGATAACTGTCACGTACGCCGTGGCGGTCGAATGATCGTCAGCTACCTGGTCCATTCAGCGCAACTAGTCAGAATGAGGCTTGCATTCTAGTACTAACTCAGACTATCGTAACTGTCGTTATCGTCTCCAACTCGAGAACCTCCGCCTCTTGACTATCCTTCAGCGACCCTAGTCCGACCCTCTCAAATAGCTCAGGCTGTGTCGCTGACCGCCCCAGCACTAGCCACTCGTGATCCCTTTGCCCCTTATCCCCGAACGGAAATGCCCCAAGTCTCAGCACCCAGCATCGAATCGCTGTATTCCCCGTGGTGGGCTCGGTCAGGTGGTGTGTATCCCCAGAACTCCGCTTTCGGTTTAGTCGCCTCAGCTCCTCTGCAACATCGCTTCCCTTGTGCTCGCGGCTTCTTCTGCACACTGAGACTTCACTGCCGTTTACGATTGTTGAGAGGCTCGTATCTGCGGAAAACCACAGAAGAGCCCGCCCAATACGCACCGCGTACCAATCGTACGGGCCCCGACTCTCGAGATACCCCATCGCCAATGGCCCGTTGATCATCATCTTGCTGCTGGTGACTCTTCCAAGTGGCGCGTCAGGACCTGTTGCTGCATTGACGTCTAGCACTGTAGCCGCCTTCTCATATGGCCATTTTCCGTTTCTAAAACACAGGTAGTCGACCTCTCCCATGATTGAAGCCCAACTAAAGCTCGGGGCGATGTAAGATGAGTTGGCAGCTTGAATCCTACTGGCTGATGGCCTCCGCCACAACAGATCCAAATCAATGTTATCAGTCCATAGACCAGCCACGTAATCTGACACGATCTTCTTTTGGACTATAGCGGCTATAGCAGATATTGCTGGGAGCTTATCGCCGGCCTGCGTGAGGTTTCTCTTGGAGTAATTCTCAACAACTTTGTGCCAGAAATTGAAGGCTTCACTATGTCGCGATATTTGACTCAATGGCGTTCCCCCAAATTCCCGCTGATGATTCAGCTTCGATCCGCATTCGCAGAATATGGCCTCTTTGCAAGTCCAAGCCATCTCCATCGCGGATATAGACAGTAGCCGGGTTGATAGGACCTTCTCCTGCAACGTCCAGCCTCGTTGAGTGAGAGGTTCCACGAGCGGCTGTTGATCCGTACTGTGAGATGGCCTCCACTTCCAATGAGCACCGGTTGCTTGCATGAGCCTTACTTTCAGTAAAATCGGAGGCCCCCTTTCGCTTCTCATTGATTCGCTGCAGATCGCGCATTGGTCCTGGGCCGCTCGAGGTGGTGGCTTTAGCTGAGGCCGTAGAAAGTGACTGGTCACAGATGTTGATGACGAGGCTGCAATCGTCAAGAAAGCATTGGCGTATGTGTCAGCCATCCTGGAGCATTCTCTTTCCCAGTCGGCTTCAGAGTCTTGAATGATGCAAAGTGCATCTATCCATAAATACCTCACCCCGAGCTCTCGAGTCAGGGCGATTGCGTCAGTATAAGCTGCTGGAAGTTCCTCAAGTCCGATTCCGGTCTTCATATTTTCCAGGTTTCCGGTCAAGGTTTTGATAGATGGATTTCTACCCCAGCAGTAACTGAGTGCGACATATTTTTCAGGTTTGATAACCTCTGATTCAACGAGACAAATTTTGTCATCCCCAGCACTCCCTATATCTAAGATACGGGTTGGCAACGTAGAGTTGTCTTGCTTGCAGCGCTTATGGTCCTTTATACAGTTATAGAAACAGGCGTTGATGAAGCTTAAGCCTTCGCGTGATAAATGGTCATCACAGATGTCTGGCAAAGGATTCACTCGTTTCCAAGTCTCTCCTTGAGCTGGAGATGTTTGTTAGTACAACCTTATGGGTCTTTATAGGCTTGGACGATCCATACCATAGTCAGTATAGAATTGCAAGAACATTTGCGAGCGCTCAGGATCGCCGAATAATATCTCTGGATTTCCTCGTCCAATCGGAAGTCGAAGGTAAAGCTGAATTCCCATCTGATTCTCAGTCCCCAACAAGCCCGAAGATGTTAGAGCCTTGAAAATGAATGCACAAACGTCACAACCTGAAATCGCCGCGCTCTCGAACTGTATGATGTCTCGAAGCACCAATACTACAAGCTCCTTTGAGTCAACTCTGACATCATTATTGGAACCTGGTGCTACCAAGTCTGGATCGAAATTGAAACAACATGGGCAGTGTTCGTGAGACACAGTTGGAGGGCTCTGGTGGTCTTCCATGACATCTGTGATAAATCAAGAATAATCAAAGGTGACAATTCGTCTCACCCATTCTCCACACGAACTACGAGCATCTATCTTTTAGCACGTGATACCCACCAAGCAGAATGATACTCTTACTCAGCTAACAATGCAAAGAGTGAAACTTCTAATCTAGAAATGCAATATCTACGCCGCTGATGACTCCCTTTTTTTATTGATAATTATCGCTGGATACAAAATAACACCATGTCTAGCAGTCAGGAACACTGACTGGAATATTAATGTGAACGCTCGTGGCCAGTCCACTCAAACTCGTTTCCTTGAACTCGTTCCTCATACCCTTGGCCGTCAGTCGCATCGCCCGGATAGCGTCGTCCAGCCTCACGCGCTGCGTGCCTGTTTCACTGCTAAGCGCCAGGTTCGCGCTGGAGATGGCCTTTGTCGCGCCCAGTGCGTTTCTCTCGATGCAGGGAGCCTGGACGAGTCCGCCGATGGGATCGCATGTCAGTCCGAGGTTGTGTTCGATGCCGATTTCTGCGGCTTGCTCGATTGTTTCAGGGCTGGCTCCCATGCAGGCAGCGAAAGCGCCAGCGGCCATGGAGCAGGCAACGCCGACCTCCGCCATGCATCCTCCTTCGGCGGCTGAGATGGTGGCACCTCGCTTGTAAAGCATACCGATTGCGGCAGCAGTGAGAAGGAACGTGGGGATATCTCGCTCAGGGTCGTCGCTGATGAACTCCGTAGTGTACTTGAGCACAGCTGGAATGATGCCTGCGGCGCCGTTTGTAGGAGCAGTAACGATTCGACCGCCGCCAGCGTTGGTTTCATTGACAGCAATAGCATAGACAGAAAGGTAGTCCATGGTGGGGAATGTCGTCCGGCGTGAAGGAGCTGGAGCGATAGGGTGATCCAGAGATCCGTGGATCCGTGGCGGACCGCGCTTCCGAAGGCCACCAGCCTTGAACTTCTCTGGCACCAACTGAGATGAACCTGCAGCAAGAGCTTTCGGTGATGAGGCGGCGCCATCCTCGTTGATGTCGGCGTCAGGCGAAGAGAATTTGTGCTCAAGCTGAGCAGCTGAAGTATCAGCAGTCGAAGAGGGATACAAGCCTCGAGTTAATCGGCGGTAGAGCGCCGGCGCTCGTCGATGCAGCTTGAGAGATCCAGGAAGCTTGGATCCCGTTGGTGCCTGGACACTTTCCAGAATACTAGCATCCATGACTCCCCAGATCTTAAAGATCTTTCGGTAAATATCCTCATCCGTATATCCTAGACTCTTCTCATTCTCATACACCAATTGCGCGATGGTGAGATTGTGTTTGCGACAGAGTGAAAGCAGACTAGCGGCATCTCGGAATGGATACCGCGGATGCGGCGATGAGCTGGTATCCTTGGTCTCGGACTTGACATCGGTAGAGAGGCCGGTTGGCTCAGGCGAGTCTCCGAGGAGAGCTGTCGGGCCTTCATTGGCTTCCTCAAGGGCTTTGACTTCGGTGCCGGTTCGTCGATCTCCCGCGGCGTCTGAGCGCCGGATTTCCTTGTAGTACATGTTTTCGGCCAAATCAGCCGGGTGAGCTGCCGTGTCCGAATCTCCGACTTCAAGCTGAGCGGGGGCGTTTGCGGAGAGGGTTTCCTGGGGTGCGATACTAAGAGCACCGTTGACAACGAAACCGCCACCTACACTGAACATGTCGTTGGTGGCTAGGACGTAGCCTTCCTTGTCGTAGACAGTAAAGCGCATGCCGTTGCTGTGTTGGGGAAGCTTAC